AGAGAGGAAAGGAGAAGGAGAGAGAGAAACATCAATGATGAGAGTCATTGATTGGCTGCCTCCTGCACGCCCCCTGCTGGGCATCAAGCCCGAAACCCGGGCACATGCCCTTACCAGGAATGGAACCATGACCTTGTTCATAGGTCGATTCTCAGCCACTGAGCCACGCAGGCCAGGCTAAAAACATTCTTCTATAATCATAATACAATCATCAGAATTAGGAAATTAACATTGATACATTACTATACTACTTTCTAAACCTCACACCCCATTTAACTATTGCAAATCACCCCAGTAATGTCCCTCTTACCAAAAGTACCCAGCTCAGAATCATGTGTTGCATCTAGTTCTTAGACGTTCTTGACTTTCATGACCTTGACCTTTTTGAAGACTATAAGCCATTTATTTTGTAGATAGTAACTCAGTTTGAGTTTGTCTGATGTTTCTTTACAATTAAATTTAGGTAACAAAACCGTGGCATTAATATACAAGAACTGATGGGGCATTTGTCTCATTGCATGCTATCAGTGGTGCATAATTTCAAATTGGCACTTACTAGTAATGTTAACTTTCATTACTTGATTAAGATGGTGTCTTCCAGGTTCTTCATGTAAAGTTATTCTTTTCCCCTTTATAGTTAATAAATATTTGGAGCTTGGGGGAGGGAAATTGAGACTATCACTATCCCTCTCCTCATCAAACATTCTATTTTTTAAAGTTGTATTTCATTATATTGATATGGACCCATGGTTTCTCCTTTTATTCAATGGTTTCAGGGAAATGTATCTTTGAAGCTATGAGGCAGAAAAGAATTTAGAGCTTTTGCAAAGGTAGAGGAGACCTGTTGGGGGAGGAAAGAATGCCACGGCATGAAATGGTAACAATGGGCAGGCCCAAAGCAGGCAGGATCCACAGGTTGTTTTATGATGTTTTAGTTTTCTACAAAGTACAATGGGATGCTATTGAAAGTTTTAAATAGGGCGTAATATGAGCCAATTTATATTTTAAAAATGTCTTTCTAGCTATATATGGAGAATACTACTCCTGGCACAGTTATAAAAGTAGGAAATTCTTAAACAATTTTTGTGCCCTAAACCTGTTTGGCTGCCTATTGAAGAATATGGTCCCCTTCTCAGATTGTTTTTAAATTACAAAGGAAACTAATTATATTGAAATATAGTTTACCAGAATATTTTTTATTTTTATTTTTTATTTTTTATTTTTTTATTTTTAAATACATCTTTATTGATTTCAGAGAAAGGAAGGGAGAGGGAGAGAGATAGAAACACCAATGACGATAGAGTCATTAATCAGCTGCAACCTGCAATCCGGGCATGTTCCCTGACCGGGAATCGAACCCTGATCTCCTGGATCCTAGGTCGATGCTCAACAACTGAGCCACACCCGGCCGGGCCAGAATATTTTTTAGAAAAATATTTGTGATGTAGTTATATGCATACTCCTTTAGTGGGTCTATAATGATAAAGTGGGTGAGCACAAATGAAATGTTGAGATGTTTGCAAAAATTGTAATATGAGGGAAAAGATCTGATTTCTATTGGCAACTAAGTCACAGAAGCTGCTAATGCTGCTGTAGTGTGTTGTCCACTATAGTGGAAAGAAATGCTATAGTGGAAATGCTATATCTATAGTGGAAAGAAATGCTAAGTTTCCATTGAGGTTAGTGAAAATAAAGATGTAATTTTTTTAAATCAGTGAAGTCCATAGAGTACCCCCCGTATTCTGCCCATGGACCCTGTGTTAGTCTGTTTGAGCTGCTATACAGAATACCATAGACTATGTGGCTTACAAACGGTAGAAATTTATTTCTTACAGTTCTGGAAGCAAAACGTCCTAGACCAAGGTGTTGGTAGATTTGGTGTCTGATGAAGACCTGCTCCCTGCCTATAGGAGGCTATGTTCTCACTCTAACCTTACATGGTGGAAAGGCAATGAAGCCCTTTGGGGTCTCTTTTATAAAGGCACTGATCCTATTTACGGGAGCTCTGCCTTCATGGCCTAATCACCTCCCAAAGACCCCACCTCCAAATATCATCACTTTAGTGATTAGAATTTTGACATATGATTTTGGGGAGACACATTCAGCCTATAGCAGATCCCTTGGGACTTTTATCTTAAGAGGTTATTTCAGTAATTGTGGAGAAAAAAGAATGGAGGCTTGAACTAGGGTGATAGTGGTAGAGATCACAGTAGGGGACAGATCTGAGATATTTTTGGAAGAAGAATCAATAGGACAGAAAAGGGGGAGATTACCTAGAGTTATGGGGGAAGTCTTCATGGAAAAACCAGGCCGAGTTATGCAACATGTAAAAATAAGCAGTGTACAGAATGTTAAAAGGAATAGTTGGAAAGCAAGATTTGCTAGCAGACTCCTGCTGTGAACCACTGGAAGGTGAGGAACCAGGCTGGCAGCTGTGGGCTGGGCAGGACGGGTGTGAAGGTTTAAGTCGGGGACCTCGAGACCCTTGGCTCGGCCACGCATGAGTGTGAGACGTAGGACAAACACCTAATGAAGCCTTGACTTCTCAAAAGATGAAGATAGTAATAGCTTGTAACCCGTAATGTTGTTGTAGGGATTAAATGAGACACCATATATAAAGTGGTTAGCACAGTTCCGACGCATAGCAAGGGCAGATAAATATTAGTAGTTATTTTAATGACTGCTAGGATCTGACATTGTTTTGAGATATCACCCCAGGAGATTGCAATCTAGCTGAGGAAACAAGGTAAAGCACGTCATATATTTTGAGGAGGAAACCATTCGGAATCAAGTGTTCAAATAGAAGAGATGAACAATCCTAAGCTATTAATTTTGCTCAGGATAGCACTTTCTGTTTCATAACAAGATTTTGAGAATTTCTTCCACGTATTTGTGGGTGAGCATTGCAAACGAGTAATGATAGTGCTGGTCTCTTTTTAACAAGTGAGTTTTAGATATTCCTGTTGTCCAGTCTTTGCTGCTAACAGCTAAGCTCCTGTCTGGTGTAATAATGACTGTGGCTCAGACAGTAAAAGGCACACAGACAAAAAAAGTAATCAAGATTCCGAAAGTCTGTTCTTTGCTTTCATTTAGAGGAGCTAAGACAAGAACAGGATGTTTCCTTTCATTCTGTCATAGTAGCATTTCATGAAGATGCACAAAGAATTTTAATCAACCTTAGAGCTAGCCCTGCATTTGAGTGGTTTGTATGTGGATGACTGTGGCTTAATGGCAAAACGTAACAGTTCAAGTTCTCTTTCTGCTGTGTACTTTGCTATATGACATTGAACAACTCATGCAATGTGCTGAGCTGAATTTTTCATTTTTAAAAGGGGGATAGGAGTTTCTGCCTCAGGATTATTGTGTAGATCAAAAGAGAAAACTTAAGTCGATGTCTGGAACAAAATAGGAACACAATAAAAATATTTTTATAAGCAATGTAATGCCTATTAAAGAGTGAGACTTTAAGCCAAAACTAAAACCAGAGACAAAGAAGGTCATTATAAAATGATAAAAGGGTCAATTTATCAAGAGGATATAATAATCATAAATATATATGTACCCTAAACTGGAGCACTAAATATATTAAGCAGATATTAACAGACCAGAAGGGAGAAAAAGACAACAATACAATAACAGTGTGGAACTTCAATACCCTACTTTTAACTATGGCTAGATCATCCAGACAGAAATTCGAGGAAATGTTGGACTTGACCTTAACTACACATTAGACCAAATGAACCTAACAAACACATACAAAGCATTTAATCCAACAGCAGCAGATATACATTCTTCTCAGGTGCACACGGAACATTCTCCAGGATAGGTTAAAGAACAGGTCACAAAACAAGTCTTAGCAAATGTAAGAAGAATGAAATCATACCAAGAATCTTTTCCAACCACAGTGGTATGAAACTAGAAATCAGTAACAGGAGGAAAACTGGAAAATTCACAAGCATGTGGAAATTCAACAACACGCTCCCGAACAACCAATGGATCAAGAAGAAATAAAAAGGGAAATCAAAAATATCTTGAAGCATCCAAAAAAAAATGGAAACACAACATGTCAAAACTAGTGGGATGCAACAAAAGTAGTTCTAAGAGGAAGGTTTACAGTGATAAATGCCTACATTAAGTGGAAAAAAAGATCTAAACCTAACTTTATACCTCAAAAAGCTTTTAAAAAACAGATTAAGCAAAGCGCTGGCCAGGTGGCTCAGTTGGTTGGAGCTTCGTCCCGTGCACCAAAAGGTTGCAAGTGTGATTCCCGGGTGCCTAGGTTGTGGGTGCGATCCCCAGTTGGGGTGTATACTGGAGGCAACCGATCTCTCTCTCACTATCCCTCTCTCCCCCCCAAAATCAATAAAAATATATCCTCCTTCGTGTGAGTATTAAAAAAGCAGATTAAGCACAAAATTAGCAAAAGGAAGGAAACAACAAAGATCAGGACAAAAATAAATAAAACCCAGAAAAACAATAGAAAAAAAAGTCAGTGAAACTAAGAGCTGGTTTTTTAAAAAGATAAACAAAATTGACAAACCTTTAGCTAGACTAATAAAAAAGAGGAAAGAAGAGACAACTGATACCACATAAAAAGGACCATAAAAGAATACTATGAACAATTAAATGCCCATAAATACTATGAAAATTAAATGCCACTCTCAGCGCTGTGCAGATGCAGAGCTGAGACTTGCGCGACCCTGACCATGAGCGTCTCCTTCAGTTCTGTACCCTGAGTGCCTTATTCCCCTCGCCTTTGCCCTGGACCTGCTTGCGACAGTCCTGAGGTCAAGATCATCAGCTCCCTTCTTTGCAGATGAGTAAACAGAGGCTTATGGAGGTTGAGTAGCTTGCTTCGCTTTCACGTGAGCCAGTAAGTGGTGGGGTTAGGATCTGAACCTGAATTCTTGAGGGGAGTTGGACACCAAAGCCCGGGCCTTGACTGACTGCCCCCGCATCGATGCCTCCTCTAAAGTTTCGGTTGTCGTCTTCCTTTCCAGGTATCCAAGGCAGCTGCGGACTTGATGGCCTACTGTGAAGCTCATGCCAAGGAAGACCCGCTCCTGACCCCCGTTCCGGCTTCAGAGAACCCATTTAGGGAGAAGAAGTTCTTCTGTGCCATCCTTTAAGTCTTCACGAGGAGCCTGAAGAGCCTCGGGGCTCCTGGGACACTGATGTAGAGTTTTTAGCAAAGTGGGCACCTTTCTAGTCCACAGCATTTAAATAGAGGGAGGAGAACCATCCTGGAAACTCCAGGCTATGCATGTTTAAAGAACTGGTCCCCTTTATGACAATGAAAGCCAATCCACACCCCCAGTTAAGAGCTTTGATATCTGCAGAATTGCCTGGAGGAAGGGACTGTGTAAAGATAAATCCGTGTCATTTCTTTTCTGCTATCCCTCCCCGAACCTTATGTTTCTGCTTCATATTTAAAAAATAAAAATTCAAACAGACAGCTGTACTGAGCTGAGAGACATATGACCTTCTTGGAATGAGTATTGCCTTTAGAATACCCTTTGAGCAGCTGAGTTGTCCAGTGTAACTGCGGTTTGGTTTAATGGCGTTGATGTCTAGTCTTTGTGCCTTTGTTTCCTTTAATCTTTCTCCCTGGCCCTCCCTCTCTCCGCTCCCCAGTAGAGTAGAACAGAGATGAGGCTGGACTTGTCTGTGAGACTGAACTCCAAGGATGGGCACCCACAATGTCTAGGGAGCTGTTCCCCGTGGTTTATCCTCATGGTGATAACAAAAGCCGTGCCGGTTGTCTGTGTTCTCCTATCACTGTTCCTAACATTTGTACATGATCGCTTTGATTCTGCAAGTAAAAGTAAATCATGTGTTGTGACTGGTGCTTTCATATATCTGTGACAATTTTTGAGTAATATTGCATGAAAATGTCCCCGTGTTACATCCATTCAGAAGTTTTGTTGTTTGACTCTAACGTTTGGAAAAAGAGTAAGTGAGAAAAGAAGCTGGGAAGGAGAACACTCAGTAGCTTGAAAACTGGAATTACTTTAGGGCCTTAGCCACGCCTGAAATACCTCCTGTTTCGCTGGTGTAACCGCCTCCCCAGCAGGATTTCCAGAATCCAAAGCATTTGGGTTTTATGTGGGATCCAGGCCATCGCAGGTACGGCCAAGCAGGAGAGGCAGGGGTCCACCGTGGTTGGAGGCGCTTTTATCAGAGCAAGAGCAGAAATTGCTTCTTTCCCTGAATCACAGAAATTCTAGATTGAAAGAACTCTGTGTGCTCTTAAGAAAAATGTGGCCCTTTTTTTGTGCCAC